GCTGGGCACTTCGGGGCCCGGAAGACGTTGGAACTTCTACAACGTATGTTCTGGTGGCCCAGCATGTCCAAAGATTGCGAGGCTTACGTAAAGACCTGCGCGGTCTGTCAAAGGAATAAGCCTTCCAGGAACAAGGCTTGGGGGCTCCTGCGACCCTTACCCATACCTAACAGACCGTGGGAAATGATTTCGATGGATTTCATTGTGGAACTTCCTCCATCTCAAGACCATACCACCATTTTCGTGATTGTGGACCGCCTATCCAAGATGGCCCACTTCTTGCCTCTCAAAAACACACCATCCGCTGCGGAGACGGCGCAAATCTTTGTGAGAGAGGTGGTGAGACTCCATGGAATTCCTAAGGATATAGTTTCGGATAGGGGTGCCCAGTTCACCTCCAAATTTTGGAAAGCACTATGCGAGACGTTGGAAATCAAGTTATCTCTCTCCTCGGCATATCACCCACAGACCAATGGACAGACCGAACGTACAAACCAGACCTTGGAACAATATCTCCGATGTTACACATCATTTCTCCAGGACGATTGGCTAACTCTTTTACCACTGGCCGAATTTGCTTACAACAATGCTAGCCACTCGACTACTCAGCAATCCCCATTTTTTGCCAATTACGGCTTCCACCCGACCTTTTTACCTGACACAATTCCTGAAAGTTCGGTGCCAGCTACACAGGACATGTTGCACTTCCTTTCTGCAAACAATAAGATCTTACAAGAAGCGATCCTGAAGGCCCAGGAGGGCAGTAAGAAAGCCTTTGACAAAAGGAGAAGAGGGGAGCTTATGTTACACCCAGGGGACAAGGTCTGGTTGGCCACAACAAACCTTAGGATGATATGTCCATCGCGGAAATTGGGACCGAGATTTATGGGCCCATTCCAGGTAAAGAGGAAGGTTAACGAAGTGGCGTACGAGCTCGTACTCCCGGAATCCTTTAGAATACACCCGGTATTTCATGTATCGCTGTTGAAACCCGCGGCACCGGACCCATTCCCGAACCGGAGATCTAGGCCTCCTGACGCCATAAACGTTGATGGGGAGGAGGAGTTCGAAATTGAGACTATTCTAGACTGTAGGAAGAGGGGGGGTCAGACTCAGTTTCTCATTAAGTGGAAAGGGTATGGTCCAGAGGAGAACTCATGGGAACCCTCCCAGAACATTCATGCCTCTAGATTGATTCGGGATTTTTTTGACAACCACCCACACAAGAGAGAACTGTTGGGCATCCGGCGGCTGCCCGTAGGGGGGGGGGGCAATGTCAGGATCCGGGTGTTCTGCGGCATCGCGTCGGGCGGCGCATGCGCAGAACACCCACTCTCTCTACCCGGCGGGCGGTAGGGACCTGGCCGCGCATGGCAGCGGCGGGGTTCGCGCATGCGCACTCGGGATCACGGACGCGCGCCTGGCACCAATGACAGCGGGAGGCGGGCTATTTAAACGCAGGAACAGGTATGTTAGTTGCCGTTTGGTCTTGTATCCTGTGTCCTGTATCCTGTTCCTGTGTTGCTGTATACTCCGTTGCCGACCTCTGCTTGTTCCTGATCCTGCTCTCTCCTGTTTGACCCCTGGCTTGCCTGACTACTCTTCTGTCTGATCCCTGGTACTGTATTTGCCCGCATCCTGCTGAACCTGGCTTGTGACCTGACCATTCTTAGCTCGCTCCTCTGTACCTCGCTGCCCGCATAATACCGACCGGCCTGTCTGACCACGCATACCGTATCCATCCACCCATCCATCCATCCGGTTTGGGTCAGACCTGTGTATCTGTCTGCCTCTTCCAAATAGATTCCGTTCCTGCACTCCCCTGTCAGTATTCTCTACCACCGCAGGACGCACTCGGGGGTCGCGACCTGGTTTCAGTCTGCACCAAGTCCATCCCCACCATCAGGGGCCCTGGTGAATAGCAGGCTGGGACTTAGACCCCGCGCCCTGGGAGCATCCGTGCGGTGGGCTGCTAGAGACTCTGCCAGGCGGCTTAACAGTTTGTCTTATTACAGGATGGGGACATTATGGTGCTTTATACAGAAACAAGGCATACTACATATATTGCAACAGGCGGAAGACCTACTGGGCCTTATCTTGTTTCAAATATCAAAGTGGTTTGCAGTCCACATGTTGTGGTGAAGAAACCATTTAAAGCAGTCCTCTGCTATTTGCATCTATCTCTCCATCAAGACAACAACAGGGACTCTTTCATCTATAAGAATCTTTGCAACTATTCATGTATATTACAGATAAATGGGCCCCAACCACTTGTGCCTTTATAGGGTTGTACTGCATGAATCCATTACTATATTATTGGGGTCATATTCCCCTTTTCATTCAATGTTTTACCCACATTGCCTTTTATAGGCTTAGGGTTATGCCTCTCTCCAGATGGTAACTGTATCTGTCTTTTTTGCTTGCATGTGATTTTATATACCCATGGTACAATTTTTGGTAAAATCTCCTTCAGGGAGTGTAACCCATATGGTAACAATATGTGCTTATATATATATATAGCATGTGATATTACATACCTATGGTATAATTTTTTGTATATACCTCCTATGGGAAGTGTAACCAATGTGCAAGTGCTGCAAATGCTTTAGACTATGGTGGTCATAGCCTTTGCAGCACATATATCTAGACCAGTTTTGGTGTGATTTTAATGGTTTTAGGTCTGTGTGTATTGTCTCATACTGGGGTGATGCTAAACCAGGGTAAATACATGGTGTTGGATTCAAAGTAATGCTCTGTCTAACTAGGGCCCTCTAATACAATTTATATGCTTTTCCAATGGGTGGTACCTGACTATCTGATCTTTCTGTCAAGAGCCATTTGTGTTTTTGGAGAAACTTCTGAGGTGTGATTATTTGTTGACATGTAAATGTCCATCAAGTTTGACAAGTCCTGAAAGGCTGTGATAACAATCTTGTAGTCAATAGGTGATGAGAATGCTGTGGAACTGGAAGCAGAAGTGAAGTGCCAGATGTTGAGCCAACAGGAGAGGGCATGAGGTGTGAAACTGGTTTTTCTCATACAGAAACAAGGAAAAATAAAGAGGTTGTTAGGCCATCTAATTCAATACCAATGTATTTCATATTTATATTTAAAAAATGGCTGTTCCATTTTCCCTTACACCCGTGTGTCAATCATTAATGTGTAATAAAGCATAATTTTTGGAAATTTTTCTGAGTATCGCATTCTGTTCATAATGTAGCCGCTTTTCTGTGAATCTCTTTTCACAAATCCCTTTTTGGTCTGCATGTTTTTTGGCTACTGGATGGAAGCCATATATTGGGTGATACAGCAATTTATATTTGAACCTCTAAAATTTATTTTTTACTAATTGCATCTCATGGGGCCCCCTACTGACCCCGGGGCCCTTGGACAGTGCCCGAGTTTCCAAATGGTCAGTCTGCTCCTGCACAGGAGGATTCACTAGGGATGTAATTGAAACCTCATTTTTTATTTAATTATTTATATAAGTGTGGGAGCGCAGCACCAATTTTGTTATAATTTTGATCCCATTCTATCCAGGTGTATAGCCAGGTGTCAGCAGCAACCCATTCCGAGAATAATAGTGTATTCTGGGTAGCACAGATGGTTCTCCATTGTTCTTTGTACTGACCTTCACAGTGGACCACAGTGCTTGGGGAAGCTGTTGCATTCAGCCCGCTTGATTTCCCAAAGAAAACAGCTCTGACAGTTGTTTAAATTTGCCACCAAAGCTGTGACGTCACTGTAATGGAACCGACCCAGACTGCACTTGAGTACTTCCGTTAGAATACCGCTTCCCCATCCGAACACTGACAACAGACACCACAGCTGACCATGCAAGACTAGACAACACCAGGCGTGAAGTAAACCAGGAGGTAGACTACTTTATTTGAACACAGATACAAGATATATACACTCAGGGGACAATCCTGCCTCCCTGCATAATGACACAGGGCGGGGCAATCTACATTTAGTAACAAGAGACACACAGGTATTCAAACTTCACACCAGCAGACAGTCCCATCAGGAGGAAGGGCTGCTGGAGACACCTGTCAGGGCAGGAGTGATGGAATGGGCAGGCAGCCCTATGGTAAGGTCACGCAGCGACTGAGGACAGCCACTACCTACAGACCAGAGTCCCTCAGGGCTGCTGATGGTGGGGATGGACTTGACGCAGCCTGAGACCAGGTCGTGGCCCCCGAGTAACCCCAGCTGCAGTAACGACTGCCGCCAATGGCGTACAGCTGGTGGGAGCTAGATGGGAAAACGTGTAGTGAGGTCAGACAGGCCGGGTCTATAACAATGGAGCAGACAGTACAAGACGGTAGGCAAAGAATACTCAGGTCACGGGCCTGGTTCAGCAACGGGAGGTCAGGTAAAGAGTTAAAGCAGAGAATAGTCTTGTCCAAGCTGAGTCGGTTACCAGGAGAGCAATAAGAACAGAACAAGAGCTTGCTGCAAGGGAACATACAGGACACGAATGCAAAGAGCAAGTGCAGACAACAGGCTTAAATGTGATCAACCACACCCCTCTTGGGGAGGGACCGCAGAGGCCTGAAAGCATAAAAGGCTCCCACCATGCTTTGCAGAAACCTAAGATGGATGCCACATGGAGCAGCACAACCTCTGAGGAAAGGTAGGACCTTGACAGTACCTCCTCCTTAAGGGCCCCTCCCCCTCCGCAGCTCAACAAAAGGCTTCTGAGGAAAACAGGCATGAAAAGCGCGGAGGAGGGCAGAAGCATGAACATCCGGAAGGAACCCAGGAACGCTGCTCGGGACCATAACCGCGTCAATGGACCAGGAACTGCACTAATCACGCACCAATCGAGAGTCCAGGATGCGGCTCACCTCATACTCCTCATGACTAGAGATCAGCGAAGTATTCAAAAATTCGATTCGGCTGATTTGGCGAATTCGAGGAATAAATTCGATTCGAGGCGAATATATTCGCTGCGAATTTAACTTATAAAAAGGGTGTTTCTAGGCTTCAGAGAGCCTTTATATTAGTGCAGAACACTGTACCTTTAATTTAAATGCCCTTGGAGTCTGCTGGGGAAGAGAAATAATACTGTCAGTCAGTATGACATGCAGATGAGTGCCGTCGATCTTAGAATCACCGCACACTTCACTCATTTGGGCAGTCACGGGGCCAAAAACCAGAGTGTGGAGCCACAGTGTGGCGGTGGAGGCAGCAGCAATGGGAGGCCATACAGCACCCTATGACAAAATGGAACCCACCAGCAGTGTGAGGAGACCTGAAAGTGGCACATGGCAGAGTGTGGCGATGGAGAAAGCAGCAATGGGAGGCCGTACAGGGACCCATGACACACTCTGGACCTGGCAGCAGCATGAGGAGGCGGTACAGGGGCCCATGACAGATTACGGGCCTGGCAGCAGCATGAGGAGTCGGTACGGGGGCCCATGGCAGATTACAGGCCTGGCAGCAGCAATTGGAGGCCATACAGCACCCTATGACAAAATGGAACCCATCAGCAGTGTAAGGAGACCTGAAAGTGGCACATGGCAGAGTGTGGCGATGGAAACAGCAGCAATGGGAGGCCGTACAGGGACCCATGACACACTCTGGACCTGGCAGCAGCATGAGGAGTCGGTACGGGGGCCCATGGCAGATTACGGGCCTGGCAGCAGCATGGGAGGCCCGTAATCTGCCAGCACCCTATGACAAAATGGAAATCACCAGCAGTGTGAGGAGACCTGAAAGTGGCACATGGCAGAGTGTGGCGATGGAGACAGCAGCAATGGGAGACCGTACAGGGACCCATGACACACTCTGGACCTGGCAGCAGCATGAGGAGGCGGTACAGGGGCCCATGACAGATTACGGGCCTGGCAGCAGCATGAGGAGTCGGTACGGGGGCCATGGCAGATTACGGGCCTGGCAGCAGCAATGGGACGCCCGTAATCTGCCAGCACCCTATGACAAAATGGAACCCACCAGCAGTGTGAGGAGACCTGAAAGTGGCACATGGCAGAGTGTGGCGATGGAGACAGCAGCAATGGGAGGCCGTACAGGGACCCATGACACACTCTGGACCTGGCAGCAGCATGAGGAGTCGGTACGGGGGCCCATGGGCAGATTACGGGCCTGGCAGCAGCAATGGGAGGCCCGTAATCTGCAAGCACCCTATGACAAAATGGAACCCACCAGCAGTGTGAGGAGACCTGAAAGTGGCACACATGGCAGAGTGTGGCGATGGAGACAGCAGCAATGGGAGGCCGTACAGGGACCCATGACACACTCTGGACCTGGCAGCAGCATGAGGAGGCGGTACAGGGGCCCATGACAGATTACGGGCCTGGCAGCAGCATGAGGAGTCGGTACGGGGGCCCATGGCAGATTACGGGCCTGGCAGCAGCAACAATGGGAGGCCCGTAATCTGCCAGCACCCTATGACAAAATGGAACCCACCAGATGTGTGAGGAGACCTGAAAGTGGCACATGGCAGAGTGTGGCGATGGAGACAGCAGCAATGGGGCCGTACAGGGACCCATGACACACTCTGGACCTGGCAGCAGCATGAGGAGGCGGCGGTACAGGGGCCCATGGCAGATTACGGGCCTGGCAGCAGCAATGGGAGGCCCGTAATCTGCCAGCACCCTATGACAAAAAATGGAACCCACCAGCAGTGTGAGGAGACCTGAAAGTGGCACATGGCAGAGTGTGGCGATGGAGACAGCAGCAATGGGAGGCCGTACAGGGACCCATGACACACTCTGGACCTGGCAGCAGCATGAGGAGGCGGTACTGGGGGCCCATGACAGATTACGGGCCTGGCAGCAGCAATGGGAGGCCCGTAATCTGCCAGCACCCTATGACAAAATGGAACCCACCAGCAGTGTGAGGAGGCTGAAAGTGGCACATGGCAGAGTGTGGCGATGGAGACAGCAGCAATGGGAGGCCGTACAGGGACCCATGACACACTCTGGACCTGGCAGCAGCATGAGGAGGCGGTACGGGGGCCCATGGCAGATTACGGGCCTGGCAGCAGCAATGGGAGGCCCATAATCTGCCAGCACCCTATGACAAAATGGAACCCACCAGCAGTGTGAGGAGACCTGAAAGTGGCACATGGCAGAGTGTGGCGATGGAGACAGCAGCAATGGGAGGCCGTACAGGGACCCATGACACACACTCTGGACCTGGCAGCAGCATGAGGAGGCGGTACAGGGGCCCATGACAGATTACGGGCCTGGCAGCAGCATGAGGAGTCGGTACGGGGGCCCATGGCAGATTACGGGCCTGGCAGCAGCAATGGGAGGCCCGTAATCTGCCAGCACCCTATGACAAAATGGAACCCACCAGCAGTGTGAGGAGACCTGAAAGTGGCACATGGCAGAGTGTGGCGATGGAGACAGCAGCAATGGGAGGCCGTACAGGGACCCATGACACACTCTGGACCTGGCAGCAGCATGAGGAGGCGGCGGATCGGTACAGGGGCCCATGGCAGATTACGGGCCTGGGCAGCAGCAATGGGAGGCCGTAATCTGCCAGCACCCTATGACAAAATGGAACCCACCAGCAGTGTGAGGAGACCTGAAAGTGGCACATGGCAGAGTGTGGCGATGGAGACAGCAGCAAAGGGAGGCCGTACAGGGACCCATGACACACTCTGGACCTGGCAGCAGCAGCATGAGGAGGGCGGTACAGGGGCCCATGGCAGATTACGGGCCTGGCAGCAGCAATGGGAGGCCCGTAAATCTGCCAGCACCCTATGACAAAATGGAACCCACCAGCAGTGTGAGGAGACCTGAAAGTGGCACATGGCAGAGTGTGTGCGATGGAGACAGCAGCAATGGGAGGCCGTACAGGGACCCATGACACACTCTGGACCTGGCAGCAGCATGAGGAGGCGGTACGGGGGCCCATGGCAGATTACGGGCCTGGCAGCAGCAATGGGAGGCCCGTAATCTGCCAGCACCCTATGACAAAATGGAACCCACCAGCAGTGTGAGGAGACCTGAAAGTGGCACATGGCAGAGTGTGGCGATGGAGACAGCAGCAATGGGAGGCCGTACAGGGACCCATGACACACTCTGGACCTGGCAGCAGCATGAGGAGGCGGTACAGGGGCCCATGACAGATTACGGCCTGGCAGCAGCATGAGGAGTCAGTACGGGGGCCCATGGCAGATTACGGGCCTGGCAGCAGCAATGGGAGGCCCGTAATCTGCCAGCACCCTATGACAAAAATGGAACCCACCAGCAGTGTGAGGGAGACCTGAAAAGTGGCACATGGCAGAGTGTGGCGATGGAGACAGCAGCAATGGGAGGCCGTACAGGGACCCATGACACACTCTGGACCTGGCAGCAGCATGAGGAGGCGGGCGGTACGGGGGCCCATGGCAGATTACGGGCCTGGCAGCAGCAATGGGAGGCCCGTAATCTGCCAGCACCCTATGACAAAATGGAACCCACCAGCAGTGTGAGGAGACCTGAAAGTGGCACATGGCAGAGTGTGGCGATGGAGACAGCAGCAATGGGAGGCCGTACAGGGACCCATGACACACTCTGGACCTGGCAGCAGCATGAGGAGGCGGTACAGGGGCCCATGACAGATTACGGGCCTGGCAGCAGCATGAGGAGTCGGTACGGGGGCCCATGCAGATTACGGGCCTGGCAGCAGCAATGGGAGGCCCGTAATCTGCCAGCACCCTATTGACAAAATGGAACCCACCAGCAGTGTGAGGAGACCTGAAAGTGGCACATGGCAGAGTGTGGCGATGGAGACAGCAGCAATGGGAGGCCGTACAGGGACCCATGACACACTCTGGACCTGGCAGCAGCATGAGGAGGCGGTACAGGGGCCCATGGCAGATTACGGGCCTGGCAGCAGCAATGGGAGGCCCGTAATCTGCCAGCACCCTATGACAAAATGGAACCCACCAGCAGTGTGAGGAGACCTGAAAGTGGCACATGGCAGAGTGTGGCGATGGAGACAGCAGCAATGGGAGGCCGTACAGGGACCCATGACACACTCTGGACCTGGCAGCAGCATGAGGAGGCGGTACAGGGGCCCATGACAGATTACGGGCCTGGCAGCAGCATGAGGAGTCGGTACGGGGGCCCATGGCAGATTACGGGCCTGGCAGCAGCAATGGGAGGCCCGTAATCTGCCAGCACCCTATGACAAAATGGAACCCACCAGCAGTGTGAGGAGACCTGAAAGTGGCACATGGCAGAGTGTGGGCGATGGAGACAGCAGCAATGGGAGGCCGTACAGGGACCCATGACACACTCTGGACCTGGCAGCAGCAAGAGGAGGCGGTACAGGGGCCCATGGCAGAGTGGCGAAGCGTAAGCAGCTTAAATTGAAGGCCATACAGAGGCCTATGTTAAAAATAATAACATGTTTGGGGCATGATTCATGGCGGATTTAGTCAGTTGTGTCAGGAACTGGTGGTTTGAAATCCAGACTAATCCACGCCTGATTCATTTTCACAAACGTGAGTCTCTCTCCACACTTTGGGGTGGACAGTCGTGTCCTCCGCGGAGTTACAATACCTCCTGCCGCACTAAACACGCGCGCTCCGATGCCACGCTACTGGCCGGGCATGACAGCCTTTCAAGGGCAAATTCAGCTAGTTGGGGCAAAGGTCAAGTTTCGTTGCCCAGTAGTCAAGGGGATTGTCTACCTCGGTTGGCAGGGTGCTGTCCAAGTAGGCCCAAGCCTGTTGTTTGAGGTCCTGCTCCAGGTCCACCTGATGCTGCTGCTGCTGCGGCTGGTTAGTAGTTTCCTCACTGCGCTGGTGAAGAAAGCTACTCATCATCGACTGCAGACTGAGGCAGCCGCTGCTGGTGGAGCTGCCACTGCTCCTACCACCCCACCCCTCCCCTGCTGCCATGGCAGCGGAACGCGAGCGCACAGGGCCCACAGTGTCTGAGGATGGACGTTGGCGCACAAAGGCAGAGACCAACTGACTACATAGGTGGTTTTTATAGTACGTTATTTTGGCCTCCCTCTCAGCAGGTGTGAAAAAGGCCACCATTTTTGAACGGTAGCGAGGGTCCAACAAGGTGGACAGCCAAAAGTCATCCCTCTGTCTGATGGTTATTATTCGGCTGTCGCTACGCAAGCAAGCGAGCATGCTATGGGCCATTTGTGCCAAGGAATGCGAGGGACTCCCTGCCTCCATCTCCACAGCATACTGCCACGGTGCGTCTGGGTCCTCTGTCCCCTCCTCCTCTCTACCAGATGGCTCCTCCCTCCACTCCTCCTCTTCACTCACCAGAGCACCAAATGCCTCCTGCTCCTCCACTCCTGTCCTGCCCCCTGAGTGGGCGTTGAAAACGTCTACCGCACCCATTTCAGCCATTGATAAACAGCATTTGTTCCAGGACGTCAACAGAGGAATGACGTCGTTCACCCCATAGTCCTCCAATGAGCAAGCGGCAGGTGTCACGCATGAGCTGCCAATGGCTGACATCTAAGTTACACAGGGGAGTAGTACCTTTATCCGCTTGTAACATCAGGAAATCATCAGGTCGGTGATGGCCTTTCGCTGTTCGTAAAGGCGGTCTAACATATGTAGGGTTGAATTCCACCTTGTTGCAACGTCGCAGATCAGGCGATGCTGTGGAATTCCGTTCTGCCGCTGCAGCTCAAGGAGGATGTGCTTTGCGGTGTAGGAATGGCTGAAATGCATGCAAAGTTTACGTGACATTTTAAAGGATGTCTTGCAGTGGGATGGTGGATTTTAGGAACCGCTTGACAACCAGATTGAACACGTGAGCCATGCATGGCGCATGGCACAACCTTCCTTGACGCAGAGCAGACACCATGTTCTTTCCGTTGTCGGTCAACATGGTTCCGAT